TTTTGTCTCTAAAACTCCTGAAAAAAATAACAGTATCGAACATTGATAGTAAAATTCAGTTCTTGCCGTGATAGGTCGCCAATTTCTGTTGCTGGTTATCCGACGCAGTGATGAATCTTTCAACAACCTCACACGAAGTGTAGGTCCATCATCACCCAGAAAACGGCTGCCCAAGTCACACAGCCACCCGGAAGACACTGCAGGCCATTCGGTCAACAAACTGTCCTGGACGACTGATATTTATATGGGAGATACGAAACTCTGCAGGTTTCAACACTACGTAGTCCCTTCTCCATAGATTAGCAAAACAAATAGGGCCGGCCAGGTACTAATCAAAATTAAATAATGAAAAACAGAGTTGAAATATTTCATTCGAAGGAGGGATCGGTAATCTCAGCAGTCTTAAAAAATAAAATAGAATAGAATGATCCTCTTCGTACCTTCGAGAACGTACCCGTGACATTATCCTTCCAGTTAAAGTCGCTAATGAAAATCATATCCAAATATTAGAGTGCTAACATAAGGCACTAGCTCATTATGTGTTTTTATCAGCTGCAGAGGAGCGATAATTTGCTTAGATATTTCGCTCTTAATGGCCACTGCTCATTAGGAGCACTTCTTACAGTTAATACTCGAGCCATTGCTTCTGATCCAGCTCTTCACTTCATCCATGATATCGTACAAAACAGGAGTCACATCGACACTGACGTGCAGAAATACGAATCATATAGTGACAGGACTCAAAGATTGGAGGGTACTCACATAAAAGTTGAATAACAGTGACGATAGTACCAAACCTAAGAACGTCAAGCTAGCTATTTACAATCGAAGACCGTTAATTATTTATGGAGAAAAATCAGAGTCGGTCCCTGAAGTAATCAGCAAGCCAATGTAGCACTGACTGAGTTGTCATTGCATTCTATGATTTAGCCAGGATAATACCAATAAGGATGCAATTAAATGCGCATACATTAGCATATGGACTCAATATGCGATGTGACAAACGGCCAACTGAGAGACTTGGTTAACTTGAGTTCAAGTTATCAAAAACTTAAACAAAACCAGACTAAAGAAGAAAATCAAACAAATCATACCTTTAAGGTTCGCTTCTGAATATCGGTAAAAACTAGCCTAGTCTTTTTGACTGACCGCAATGGCAAGGAAGTGTTTGGCTTCGATTCATTTGTGAGTACAGCGTTCTCGCTCAGTCGCTCAGCCAGCGTTTGATTGCCGTCGCTGTGCATCGAGGACGTCAGCACGTTCTCCTGCATCGACAGGATGCACGGACACGAAATTAGAATACTGAGAGGCGTTACCTTGGTGTCGCTGTCAGAGCCCATTACACCCTTCGACTTCCGCTTTTGAAGACGACCAAGCTCTAAACAGTTGAGACGCTTTTCGAGCGGAAGCCTTAGCCAGTTGTACATTCGCCGGAAAGTTTCTCGACCGGATTTCAGCTTATTCCATGGCTTAGGATTTCGCAGTAAATCTGAAAGCGTGCCTTGACTTCTAAAATTAAGAAAATTTATACAATGGCGAAACTCAGTTATCCAGACAAACAATCTGTATCACCACGGCAGAAGAGAAAATCTAATAAAAGAGGTTTCATAGAGACAATATATATCGGTAATATTCCACAATAATGACTCACAAGAACTGCTAAAATAAATATTTCGTCTGGTATCGGCACGGGCACACACGGAGAATAGTGATTTTTCAGAAATTTTGTAGAGCGGCTTCTTACAAACGCAGGGACAGTTTGTCATTGCATCACCACAGCGGTACCGTTAACAGAAGTGAAGTTACTTCGGTAGTTTCTAGTAACCCCGGTCTGTTCTCTTGATAAATAAATTATTCAGTTACTAGAAGGAAAGATCGGTCACCAAGCATTTTTGACTCAAATACGAAGAAAGCCTGACCGACAGTACGCACAACAACGTAGAGCTAAATGCCCAATCCGGTCAATGGTGATGAATAGAGTGCTGAGTACAGTAATACGATAATATTTATCTTCAAAAGGTCTA